TGGGGGCGATCTTTGTTTCTCAAGATGCTGGTAGGTATCTAATAGCATAATCCCCCACTGACCACCTGTCAATTGAGAAATTTATCGCATCACAGGATGTCTGTAGTTGGACAGAGCCCTCTGATTACTTCTCTCAAACCATTTTCCTCCTGTTTGCAAGACGTTTGGTACATGCCACTCAGTGTTTATTTAAACAAGCTTCTTAATCTCGAGATTAATTTATTGCAAAATACGATCATTTTCTATCGGACCCTGTTTGTAAAATGCAGTAGTAACTATGACCAATATTTTCAGTGGATTTTGAAATTATTCGTTAGATGTTTGTTTAAAGATTTTTCTATTACTTTCATCTGCTACCTATCAACTTAAAAATGCTCGTATTTGACTAACTGATTTTGGTTTTCTAACACCTTAAACAGATAACTAATAAAAACATAGAGTGTTAATAAAATGTTCATGACATCGATCCTTTTTTTTGTTTTATTTTATGAATAGCGTTCGCTGGACTCGGGCTTGTTTACGTCCTTGAGAGTGTAGAACTGATGGATTACACTGTCAGAAAAGCAGCCGAAGTTGAGAATTTTATGACGTCAGTTGAACGAGTTATGAAGTACACCGAACTTGATCATGAACCTGGTTACAAAGTGAAAAAACTTCCCCCGGAACACTGGCCATCAAAAGGAGATATCACGCTTCAAGACTTGTCAATGACTTACTACCCGGGAGGACCTCAAGTATTAAGGAACGTTAATCTTCATATAAAAGATGGAACCAATGTTGGTGTCACAGGGCGAACGGGAGCCGGCAAGTCATCTCTAGTGGCAGCTCTTCTGCGCATGCCAGATGCCCAAGGTGCCTTAATGATTGATGACATCGTAGTAAAGGACATTAACCTTCAAGTGTCTCGACGATGTGTATCCGTACTAGGCCAGCGTCCTGTCCTTTTCAGTGGATCTTTGAGAGAAAATCTCGATCTTGTAGAGCAGTTCCAAGATGTGGAGTTATGGCGAGCCTTAGAGATCGTTCAACTGAAAGAATTGGTGGAAAGTTTGGAAGGAAAACTAGATCACCAGTTGTTAGAGCATGGTGCAAACTTCAGTGTAGGAGAACGACAGCTAATTTGTTTGGCTCGTGTTCTTTTGCATAAAAGAAAAATTGTCATCCTAGATGAACCCACTGCACATGTGGATCCAGACACAGAACAAACAACTTGGAGGATAGTGCGAGAGAAACTGAAGGGCTCCACAGTAATCACCATAGCTCATCGACTGAACACCATCAAAGACTGTGACATGATTTTGGTCATGAAAGATGACGAGATAGATGAGTTTGATAGTTTCAACTCAGTAGTTACCAAAACTTAACATAGTTTTACATCACAGTAAAAAAGGAGATTTCTATAGAGAACTTTTTACCTCTCTGCATCTATTTCTCCTATCCCTTTTGTTTTAAAATTATTTAGAATTCAGTTTTCAAGGTGTATGAACAAAGCTTATAACAAGCAATTATGTCCAATTCCATTAAATTTGGATTTCTGTCATATACAGGAAAATGTAACAGAAACTTATTCCTCAGTTCCAGGTTGGAATCCTTGAGGGTAATTGCATGTCTTTTTCTTCCTTAACTCTCTGCAGGGCAGTGGAAGGGATGGTGAAGGAGGCTTTAAACCCCTCCCACCCCCTCCCTCCCCCCCCACCACATAAACAAAGATTTAGAAGAGCAGAGCGACTCACACTTCAGTGCGGAAATTATTGCAATTAATAGTAGTTTGAAATTAATTTAGCAAAATGTTTAGTCTCCTAAACTTTCCACAGATTGTTTCATCAGGATTGCACTAAGTGTATCTACATGTTATGAGACTGAATTCTTTGACAAAATGCCTTCTTATACATTATTAGAAATCAGAGGAGATGACTGAGTACAGAAAACATGGCACACTGCACACTGGAGACTTCCTAACACAATTTGGGGTTCCTTTTTATTGGATTGCAACAGTTCAATTTTATGAAAATTAAAGTGGCTCTGAGCCTCTTCCTTCTCTGCACCAGATTCACATGTTTACAAAGCAACTCTGATACTGATCATGAATAAATAAGATAAATAGTATATTGAAGTGTAGACAATGATAACCATAAAAATTAATGTTCAAAATGTAGCCTTTTCGCAAAAACAATTAAGTAATAAATGTCCTCCCCACGAGGTTCACTTCCATAGCTTATTACTTAACATCATTTGTAGATTAATTAATAATGCATTCTTAATTCTACACTTCATCTAGAATGTATCTCAGCTTCACACCACAGGTAATGGATTCTGCTGCATAAATACTTTTGAGTGTAATTTGCACTCAATTATACACACATTAAAAAGGTGGGTGGTCATCTTTCTCAAAGAAAAATTCAATTACGGCCATTATGTACTGTATTTCAGAGAACAGGTATGGAGAACACTTTAATTACATCTTTCAAGACCACTTAGATTGGTTTCAGGCCTATGTCAACACTTGACACAAAGGCACTTGTCCTAATGAATGTGTCAGTCAGGTATAGTATCACAGTTGAGAATTACTCCTAAAATTATTACTGTGATTAAAAAATTAAAAGAGTAATTGAAAATAATTATTTTCAGTCTTTTTTTTCATTTCAATTTCCAATGACAATTTTCCACAAACATTTCACTGTGGAGAAGTTGTGAGAACAAAGTTTTACAGTTTAAGTCAACTGAAATTCCTAATAAAATTTTTTTTGCAATTTTTGGTGCCAGCAGAACATATTTCAACATTGAACAGTACTCTAGTAGAGAACTTCCCTGAGTGGGTCTGATTACAAAGATTATAAACTGTCACTTGCCTTGCGTGCAAAAATTTAAATCTACAAAGTTAATATGTCACATGGTGACAATCAACACAAGACAATAACTATTTTTGATCACCCAACTCAGAATTTCCATTAAAATCTTGGCCGTTCAGTCTGGAACCTGTAACACCAACTATACTAGTCACTGCTTAACCTCTTCTACCACAGGAGACAAACCACTGAAACCAAAAAGTACTACAAAAACTGCTCAATGTAATGGCATATCAAATGATCATTAAAATGTCATGGCTTTTTAAAATATCAAAAATATTTCCTTTAAAATTTCTGCACTTGAGGCAAAACATGGCACTGCTCATGGTCAGATTTGATTCCCACACCATCCCCAACCCGTAAAGGAACATGATCTTCAAGGTGGAGGGTAAATTTTTCTATCTATTTGAAAGAAAAGTTTGCTGTAATGGTGAAGCTCGATTATTTTTAACAAAGCATTTAAGTTAATTTTATGAATATTTTGATGTTTTTGAAATCAAAGGGGCTGTTTTATAATTATAGGATTTCATCAAATTCCTTAAAGGGGGTTGGGGGCACCCTCATGTAAAATCGACGGGGCAGATTGTTAACAACCTAGCCTAGAGTAATGCTCACCCAAAGAGAAGTAAAAATGCACCACTTCTAAAAGTATATGAAGGTTCGTACCAAGACGACTCAACTCAACGTTTGTCGTCTTCTGCTTCCCGAAGTGTGGTTACAGTTGCAAGAGCCGCGTACATATACGTCGGCACAACAGCGTCTTTTTTGTAGATTGTTACTTCCCATGTCGGAAAAAACTGAAATGCTGGACGTTTAATGACTCCCAAACTTGAACCAGACTTCGATTCTTTCAGTGTGATTGTCTTGCCAAGTTCGAAACGAAAGCGATCGGTGCGTGCAATTTCTTCGTCTTTCGAATTCTTGATCAAGAAGACATCTTTCGTTAAACTCGACGAGCTCCAACTATATTCGATCCTGTAGCTTGTCGAGTTGGTTTTCCATTCCTCTTTGATATCATACTTTGCTGTCCAGGTAAAAAGCTTTTGTTTGATTGTCACAGCTTTTTCCTCTTTTTTGTTCAACATGTAAACAGTCCAAGCACACGCGACACACTTTCTCGCGTGCCCGATCTCATCTCCCTCTGGAGTCAGGTACAGCATATCTTTGTATAGGTTCACACCTTTGGGTCTGCGGACTTTGTAGCTTGTTGGCAGCTCCCATTTCTCCGTTGCATACGGTAAGTTTTTCTCGGCCTGATACTTCTTAGCGGTCAGTCCGATAGCAAGGCCAATTATCAACAATACGAAAATCACCACAGCTGCGATAAGAAATTTTTTCTTATCACACTTTTCAACAACACTCATAATATCACTTGTTAAATGACTAATGATGAAACTTTGAAGTTTCTCGAGACTTGCAGAAATTCCGACAAAAGGTTTCTCAAACTTCAACAGATTTAGTATTCTTCGGAACGAAACTTCGTGACTCTGCCCCAAGCTCTTTCGAAATTAACGCTTGGCACGTCACAGCCTGTTTCAGAATAATGAGCCGCATGCGGATGATGCGGTTGCCTGCACAAGTCATTTATTTGTGGAGTCTTGTCTTTCCTTCATATTACTGCTTCGATTCTTGCGTCCAAACTCCATTTCCCCCCACCCCACCCCCGTTTCCGCCGTCGAATTGCTCCTTGAGCTTTGACTTAATTTAATTTGTTTGCGGTGTTTTGGGTTCTTATCAATCAAAGGAAGGGCCACATCTGTGAGTATTTTTCTGAACGTGGATTTTTTTAATCTCACTTATTCTTTGCTTCTTGTTTCTGAACGCTGCATTGGTCGCTTGACACATATGTGATTAACCTATCCCAGGTGTAGTTGACATTTTCTTAGAAAAACATTGAATGCTTCCCCAGGTTGTAGAATATTCAAGTACATTCATCCGTATCCAAACTCTTCTGTCTACTTCTCGCAACGCATTTTTCTTGCACACATGGCAGTTTCAGTCTAATGATTCGTAAATCCGTCGTTCCCAAATTCCTTTTCCATTACCAAACAGTTTCGAAGCCGTTACCAAGGCAACAGGCGAGGTCTATGACTTATACCTAGTAACTAGTACCTAGTTGACGCGCCAAAACTTAAAAAGCAAAATGGTGCTTTGCAACTGTTATGCAATTCTATTTCTTTTGCTTTTAAGAAGAATAACTGCCGACTCACCGAACGCAATGGATGAAGCTGGTTTTGAACTTTTTTCTAAAGAAAAGCTACAAGCAGGGAAATCGAAATTGGAAGAGTTCACGGCGAACGCTAAGAGCAGTGATTGCTGGAAGAAAGCTGTTGAAGGGATCGAGAAACGATGCAAGACTCTTGGAGACGTGGAACAGAGCTACCTGGCAATCGATTTTACAAACTGCCATTTGTCAAAATCAGGGAGAAGAATCTATTCTTGTTCGAGAGAGACGCAATCAGTTGAGAAATGTACGGGATCAATGGACGACACAACATATCTAGCGTATACGACATTTTTTGCTCATACGACTAATATCTGTTTCTACGTGAAAAGTGAGTTGTGGCAAGCAAGAACAGAAGGCACGATCTCTAAATTATCAAGAACTTCCCAACAGGTTTCTGCTCAGCTGGAGGAGTCTGCCCAAAGACAAATCCTATTACTACAAACACAGAATATTTCCCTCGAAAACCAGAAGGAAATCATATCAAATGAAATCCAGTTATCTGCGACACTGAAGAACTCCACGTCAACAGCAAGGGAAGCCTTCGAGGACATGAAACAAAATGCTGTCGAACAAAAAGCTTTATTCACTGAAACATTTGATGGTGTCTTCAAAAGTGTGGAAAAGGTCCAAAGACTGCAATCAATGATTCTTGGAGAGTTCATAAGTTTACAATCTGTAGCTTTCTACATTGCTGCAGTATGTTCATGTTATTTCCTGACAAGCACTCCACGCACGGCAGCTGGCAGACTCCCGATTTTCGTTTTGTTGTTTATTCTCATATTCAGTGAGCGGCTGGTGACATCTTATGGGGTGACAGACACCCAGTCAACCAACACAGTAAGGCATAGTACATGTAGTGTTTTAATTACTGTATGTGCATAATGAATACTCTGACGTTTCAAAGGTTGGCCCTTTGCCATTCCCTCTGATGAAAGGCTAACACTTGAAATGCAAGCTTTATAATTCTTCACAATAGCTAATGTATATTATCAACTCAGTTGATGAATCAAATTATCTTGTCATACCTCACACCTGTGCAGCACCACAGTTTCCTAAGAAACTCAACCCCTTTATTCATTTATTGGAAATTCTGCCACATTGCAGGAATGGAGGGAAAAAAATTAGTGACAGCAGCTTTGTGTGAAGCTTCAACTACTGAAACAAGCCACTAAACAATTCAGAATGTTTGGTAAACTGAAGATATGTTAATTGGTAGATTGCAAACAAGCACCACAGTTTGTGAAAAATTGAAGAAATAAGATTATGAAATCTTATGTCTGAATTTCCTGCTGATCCTCAATAGTCCATTTTACAGTTGCCTACTTGGTTGCCAGGCCTTTGAATGGAAGTGAGGCTAATGGTGACCTTTTTATGATACAAACATTGTTGCTTTTCAAATGTAAATTACTTTGTTATCATGCTAACTAAATATTGGTTTCTATCACAACATGGCCACCTTCAGCCTCACTCCAAACCAAAGGCTTGGCAACTTAGCACACATATGTAAAATGGCCTATTTTAAGTGAATTAGATCATATGATGTTGCTGTCATTATTATCATTTGTCTCTGTCCATAAACTTTGAAGAGAGTTACTTCGAGAGTTATTTGTTCTTCTTAACCCTTTATCTCCAATAAGTGACCAAGACAGAATTTCTCCTTACAATTTCAAGCAGACAAGTGATGAGAATAAAGAAAAATGTCAATTAGGGGATTATGAATTGATCTAATACCAATTCTCCCAACTAACTACACAAGAACTGTATGGCAAACAGTAAGGAGAATTACTAATGAGATCTTGGGAGTTAAAGGGTTAATAACAGAAAACAATGAATTCCATAAAGGGCTCAATATGGAAGTCAGACTCCTAATCAGTAAGCCTCCTTGAAGTTAAATCATGTTAATCACAAGGCAAACTTTTCATATGTTTTAGAGAGAAAGCGAAGTCTGTAAGTTACACTATAACTGTTTAATCTCTTACGAGTCTCAATAGTATACTTATTGATATTCCTGACCACTACTTTTCACATTTGTCTCACAGGAAGCCATACACTCAAGACTTTGGTTTTTGAGAAAGCTATTCATCATTATCACAACTATTGTGATAATGGTTGTTGGATACCAATATCAAGATTACAACAAAATCAACTTTAATATGCTTTGTGAGATGCAGCTTCAGATTCGAGATATGAAGCGATGGCAGGAGACAATCAAAAGTTTGAAGGCACTTACAAATGGAGACTCTTCACCTCAGCCTGTGCAGAGCAGGTAAATCCGATATTGGTACTTCTGTTAAGTATTGTTGCTTTTGTTATCATTGTCGTGAGCAAAAGAAGAACTCCAAGAGGTTGTATACAGTGAACACTGGCAAATAAGCTGCTCCATTTTCCCCAAAATTTTTGGAGCAAGTTAGGGGTGCAGCTTATCTGTTGGGTATCAGTACAATTGGGAAATGTGCCACAAATTGACATCAAGTAACAATATTCATCAATATATATAATTTATGAGTATGTATGAAAAAAACTAATAAGAACTTCGTAAAAAGGTACCAGGGTAAACATTAATCATTGGTTTTGTTAGTTTGGTGACTTCTAAAGTAGCAGTTTTTGTTCATAAGCTCAGGCTTATATTTCTGGCTGTTATAACAAACCATGTTTTTTTTTTATAACAAACCTGTTTAAAGTTGACTTCTTTGAGCAGCAAAACATTACTCAGCAAGAAATCTCTATTTTTTCACTGCAAAACTGTTAACAGTGTCACAGATAGCTGGTCACATCAGTAGGGGTCTATGGTGAAAGTGAATGTTCTTGTATGTTGGGAACATTCTTATTCTTTTATGCCTTTGTCAGCATCTGTGGTAGCCAGTCACATGAATACCAGTAGTGTCATCTTACCTTTTTACAGAGCATGGGATGTAATAAAAATGATTCAGCCATGTTAGCAGACCACAGATCAAGCAAGCCAGCATACTGTCAGCCGCATACAAGTGCCTAATGTTATTCTAATATTTTTTGTGTGCAGACATTCAATGCCAAGTATTACACATCCTGGTTGTACAAAATATGTCCAAATATGTGATTTACAAGATGGTCCCATCAGTGATTGTGCACAAAACTTGTATAGTGATGATGAGTCTGATTTGAGTTATATACCTGGTGAGTCAGACCTGGAGAGTTTTTCTGATGATAGCAATGAGGAAGAGGAGGAAGATGATTCTGAGACTGAAGACGCCATACCAGATGTGAGAACACCAGTGATTGGAACGAAAGCCAAAGGAACACCTAAAAAGACAAACCCTGCAGTGTCCAGAAGAACAAGTAGTAACAAAAGGGTTAGATTTGTCTGAAATTTCCTTTGTGTTTGTGTTGTTCAGGTGTAAAAAACCATATACAACCAGAATTGAGTTACGAAGAGGTTCCCATGGAATAAAACTTTCCTTTTCTTCCCTATGATTCTGTTCTCCCATATTTCTATGCCGCCTTCCTTTTTATGATTTTTGCCTTTTTATGTTTGTCAGGGTCATAATTCAAGTCCATCAGTACGCTACAATCTTCGATCAAGGGAAAGCACACCCTCTTATGTCCACAATGGTAGTTTCCTCTGCAACATGCCTTCGCCATCAAAATTAACAGAGCTGATTGACAAAGTACAAAAGGGTTCAAACAAGCGGTACACAGCTGTCATTTGTAAACCTAAGAACAAGAGCCCTAAAAAAGCACCATTGTTTTCATCTGATGAAGAACCCTAAACACATTGTTACCTCTGATTTTGAGCATTAAACTTCTGTAAACATATGGCTGGGTCAATGATTCTGCAACCATCATTGTTATTGCCATTATTGTCATTATCATTTTCAATACAATATTGTATACAAATTATAATTCCAACCTAAGATCAGATCCAGAAAGGCACTGAATTACTATTTATCTTTCTTTCTTATGGTTAGAATTATTATTATTATTGCCATTATTGTTGTTATCATTTTCAATACTGTTTTATGTACCAATTATAATTCCAACTTAAGAGCAGATCCAGAAAGGTACTAAATTACTATTTATCTTTCTTTCCTATGGTTAGAATTATTATTATTATTGCCATTATTGTTATTATCATTTTCAACACTGTATTATATACCAATTACAATTCCAACTTAAGAGCAGATCCAGAAAGGTACTAAATTACTATTTAATTTCCCTCCCTGAGGTCAGAATTATCCCTAGCAATGTGAGAATTGCCTAGTGTAGTACATATATTGACTAGGCATAAGGCATTGTTAAATAGATATTATCATTAATATATTTCTTGCATTTACCTCGGCCAAAAACAATACAATTAATTGATTGGTATAGTGACAAATTTTTCACATAAATTTTCTCCAGCATTACAAGAGAAGGGATTTAATTTTGTAAACAGTCATAAATTGTCAAGAATGTATATGTTAGTGTCTACGACTTTTGCTTGATATCAATAAGGATTTTGTTATTTAAAAGTTATCATATTTGATGATATTACAACAGTTTCAAAAATTTTACAATGCTTATATTGTAATTTCAGTACTTCCCTTATACTTGTTCATGCATTATTTATGTCCAAGGATATTTAACTACTGCTACTGCCAAGTTAATGTGGAAGTGATATTGAAATTTCTGTTTTTGCCTTTTTTGTGTGCTATTGTGAATGTCATCAATAAAGAACATGTTTTTCCTCTCTGACCGACTGATGATTGCATTTTCGATTCAACCGCAGTAAATGAAAGATTCCATAGGGCTGATACTTCTGTTTTTCTGCCAAACGTCTTTTTCGGAGGAGAACCAACACTCATTTTAATACTTGTGCAATGATCCTTTTGAAATACTTAACTGCTTCAAGCTTGAAAATTAAATTGAGAATGCTCGACTCTGCTTTGATGACGAGCGAAATTGGAGAAAGTGTAGTTGTTTCTTCTTACTATTTTCTCCAAGGTTGTACCCTCCCCCCCCGTCGTTTGAAGGTCGTCTGAAGTAGGAAAGGAAGGGGGGGGGGAAACGACTATTTGAGTTTGAGGTTATTCTGCGATTTTTCCTATCCTTGAAGTAGGTCGTACAAATTCCAGAATTATTGGAAAAAATATGCAAATTTATGATCTTGCTCTCAAGGCCTGGGAAATATACGTTTAAGAAAGAAAGAAGTCTTAAATAAGCGGAAAGAGAAGTAATTTTTTTTAGTTTAAGCTGCAAAAAGTAGTTGATGCCAAAGTGAGATATTTTTTAGCTTAGTTTACGTCGTGCCATATATAAAGGCTTTACTTTTCTTACTTACTGTAACAGCGCATTTGGCGAATTTTTAAAAATTTCTTTCCCGATCAGACTATGTTTTTCGACCCATAGTATCGAGTGTAGATAAAAGAAAATAATGACTTGAAAAAGGACTGAAAGAAAGACCCAACTTTTAATCAGAAATATGAGCCAACTCATCTTCTTGTATGTATGTATGGACGGTCCGCCAGCGCAAAACTGGATGACCATTTTTCTAATGTACTCGATGAAAACTCTAGATGACATTCAAACAGAAGCATATAACCCTCTATTCGCTCTGACGAAGGGCTTTCGTAAGTAAGTAAAAAAACCTTTATTTCAATAGGGTAGCCCCTTCAGTTTTTGCACAAGATGAAAACTGCTATCCATAAAGGCCCTACATATATAATAAACTAAATTGACCAATAATACCCCCACCCCCCTCCCACAACCACCACCACCAACACAGCATCGCAGTTCCTTTGAAAACTTACCCCTTTTACCGTATAAGCTTTTGATTTAAATGAGCATCAAGTACCGTCAGAATACAAAAAAAATCCATTACCCTCGTCTTTGAAATACTCTCCACCAGAACGTTGTCCAATTTTTTTGTACTAATGACATCAAGAATAGGATTTTAGTTCAATTATTGACTTTATCTTTGACAATACTCCTCGCTTTTGTTTTTCTCTAAGCAACGCGTGAAAAGAGTTGAAAGAACAGAGTAAATAGTATGTTAATTGTGTAAATTCGATGTTAGCCGGAATGTAACCAGGGAACAGCCAGGCGACGACTCCGGTAAGTCAGTAAAGTTTCTGGGGCATATTCTTCGATGTCGGCGGTAGTGGTAAACAGCACACCTTTCCACGTTCTTCTTCATGACATTGGGAAAGATTTAAAGCTCAGCGATGTCCATTACATGAAGTATCTGCTACAAGGACACGTAAATAAGGAGACATTAGAGCATCTCGATTCAGGACAGGAGCTCACTGAACTGCTTAGAAAAAGAGGTTTGGTAACCGAGAAGAAACTGGCGTTTATGAGAAAGCTTCTGATAGAAGCTAAGTGTCTTAAACAAGTTCACTTAGTGGATGAGTTCAGGGAAAAATTCACTTCTGTGACAATTATTGGTGAGTGTTAAATCCTGATTAGGAGCCATTCAAATTAGCACTGGTAACCTCGTTATAATTTAAATATCTGGCGGTTGATTCATTTTCAACTACTTACGTGGATGTCATCTGGTTCTTTATCGCTAAAAAGGGCTGATACTAGATTCATATTTCCACTAAGATCCGCTCAGATGAATCACGATACTTTGAAAAGCGTTTCGCGAAAATAGATTTCTTTCATGACGTTTTGATAACTCTTTCTTTGGCCTTAGTAAACATTATTTTCATGCAGTACCGTGCGTGATTAGCAGACACAAAGTTTGCGAGATTTCCTACAAATTAATTTTGGAAAAAATTCAAAACGTTCGCACCTTCATTTCAAGAAGCAAGTTTTGATGATACGACTGTAACACTGATAGACAACGACAAAGTTTTGAACTGCTTCATTTTTGTGTTGGCTGTTTCTTATGTTTGCTTTGTCTAACGATTCAAAAAGAAATTAAAATGTCATAATTTCTTTAATGTCACCTTAATATTGATAAAGGAACGATAACGTTAGCATTACATTACAAAAAAAGCGACGTTTGAACAACCAAACCAAACTATCTGACTAAGACAACTACTCACCCAAAAGCACAAAATGTCCCTGAGGTGTAATTAGTATTCGCAGTTAATTATCATGAACTGTTTTAGCTAATCTCGCTGTAAAATAGCTATTAGCGCGTAAACGAAGACGCGCTCTTTAGCAAATATTCTCTCAGGTCCCTTCTTTTTCTTTTGATAGACGGTATAGGTTGTCTATAATACGCGTGCTTTTAGCAAAAGGTGCTTGAGGCTGTTTTCAAATCAGTATTGAATCTTGAATTGTTAATTTAGGTTAAGCTAATCGAAATTTTTTAGTTGAATTGTAAGATCTTCAAGAGCGGATATGAGCTATTATTTGGGGGAGAAAAAGTGTAATGGCGTGGGATTTTTTTTTATCCCTCCGTCTTAATTAAATTTTGAAACAACTCTGAGCGACGCAGACCTAAACGAAAACAATGGCACTTCAATGCATTCACATTGAGATTTTCAGACCAAATGCGTTTCAGTATTTCATTCGCAGCCGCCACACAGTTCTCATATTTCTTTCATATGTCCTACATGTCAACACATTCATAAGGTGGTCTGCCCGTTGACCCAATCCTTTCTTCTTAGGTGAGCGACAACAAAGTGAACGAGCCTCCAGATTGAACAACAGACGGGAGACCTTACTGCGCATGATCGAGAATGTGGAAAATGAAATAAGGACGTGCGAGGATGTAGATGTAGAAATCTCCAATCAGATCAAAGAATCCGAGGTGCAAATCCAGGCAAACAACGAAAATATGGTCATCGTTGAGGAAATAATTCAAAGTTTGAAAAGCAAGATAGTCAAGTATGAAAGCAATATAGAATCATTTGAAAGAAAATTGGAAACGGTTCGATTCTTCTTAAAGAAGAAACAAGTTGAGATGGACAAAATTAAACAGAAATTGGACGAAAATCATAGCAGCGCGACGATTAAAAAAGAACTAAAAGACAAGCAAGAGGAAAACGAAAAAACGAAAAGAGAGGAGGATGAACTCATCGCAAAACATCAGAATGCTCTGGACATGATAAGGACTACTCATGTAGAGATCAGACACAAAACGCAAGACTTGATTGTCCTAGAGGATAGTATTCATGACTCTTTGATGCAGGTACGTGCTCTCAAGCAAAGCGCCAGGAAAAATCAACGAGCTTCGACGGACTTGCAAGAAAAACTGGAGAGTCTTTCGCTTGAACTGGAAGATACACGACGAATGAAACCGCTGACACCTTTCTCAAGACCAGCAACTAGAGGTCAGAATCTGTTGAATGGTAACCATGGTAATGCAGTGAATGAGACACACTTGACAAGGAGACTGGAATACAAGGTAGGTGGTGTGAAGTTTTATTCAAATTGATCTGTCCTAATTAAAGAGACCATCCAAGCAATGCGTGTAGTTTATGTGGCATTTTCACCACTAGAATAGATGCATCGTGCTTAAGTTTGAAAATAACTTTGGAGGTGGTAACAAGGGCTCCGATGCTTTTAAGGAGTTTATTCTCTGAAGCTTACTCTCCAGTACTGTGAATTTTATCTCAATCACTTAACTCATAAGGGATTCTTTGCCTCTCTGAAATTCGAATAACCAGATACCGTTTACGATAAGAGTACGTTCCTGAAGCATTGCGCATGGTTATTCTCAGTCAGCAAGGGCACAAACGAATTAACGGCTAAAGGAAGGAAGTAAACAGTTGTCCATTACTACTGGTACCCATTCCCTTTCGTTCTCTCTCTATTTCATCTACCTCCGTGTACCTCTTTACATTACCATTTGAAAGACAAAAACCAAAGAAACAAAAAGTAGATTGATCTCTCTCTTTTCAAGGTCAAGATGGCGGACCATATGAAAATGTGTTCTAGAGGATACGTGCGAGAGGAACCCATTGCGCATGTCCGGGTCGTGACCGTGCTCCTTTAAACACACGCATCCGTAAGAACATGTTTTTCACTCCTTACACATCTTTATTTTACAACGAATGCTCACGTTTTCCCCCATAGGTTCTGGATTACGGCGAAATTTCTGAACGAGAATCAAATGTGATTGGTCGAAAAGGGAAACGCGTGAATCCTCCTCAGTTTCAGTCTCCCACCAGCGTGGCTGTCGACCGAGCGCAAGGATATATTTACGTCGCTGATCATGGCAACGCGCGTATTCAAATTCTAGACGTGAACGGTAACATTGCACGGGAGCCCTTAGTTTTGGGTGGGAAAAGCCGACCAAGCGCCTTAGCAGTCAGTCTTCGAGGAGATCTGGTGATGACTGACTCGCAGATTTTACGTTTGTTTAGCAAAACAGGTTAGATAGGCTGTTGTTAATCCCCCTCCTCTCCTACCAAATTTTCAAAACTGATGAAAGGTGCATCTTTAAAGCATTGGTAATTAGCGGTAACACGGGAGTCTGTTTCTCACAATCTGTCAATCTTCAAATATAAGAGAATCTTTTTCTCGTCATTACATTGTCTGCCTTAACCCCATGAGCTACTCTGTTTCTATTAGCCAGAGAAAAGCGTAAAAAAAAACAAGATGCGATGTGCTTGATGGTTAGGCCGAAAATACCATGCCCGCCACGTGACAGCCGAGGAGGAAGCCTCAAAACGAGGCAGAATGAGAAGGGGCTAACACTCAAAACGTCAGCTTTAGAAACTTTACGGAGGCCAATTTTACTTTATCAACTCAGTTTATAAAACCAATTTGTCTTCCTTATACCCCCACCGACGTGGCACCACAGTTTCTTTTGAAACTTACCCCCTTTATTCAGAAAAATTACGACCTTTTTCCTCTACTGATATATTCCATATCTCTTTTAGGTGAACTTCTTCGCCCAATTTTGCCTGTCTACAGCAAGAATGACAAACGACCTGAGCTAAGTGCTGTGGCATTTGACATTCAAGGAAATATCTACGCCGCTGACAAAGCAAACCACAGAATTCAAAAATTCACTTTTAATGGGAGTTTTCTTTGCTTCATTGGAGGACTTCGTGACTTGCATTACCCCATGGGCATTACAGTTAGAAGGAACGGTGACGTCATTGTGTCGGAATACGAAAATCATCGCCTGAAAATCTTCAGCCAAGATAGCCTGGAGGAGAGTAGAACCATTGGCGTGCATGGTGTAGGAGCAGGCAAGTTTGCTTGCCCAAGAGGGATTGCACTTGATCATAATGACAATATTTTGGTAGCAGACAGTCGAAATCATAGAATCCAGGCGATTTCTTTGTCAGGTGAACCTCTTGGGTCGTTCGGAACGATCGGCCTGGATCCGGGATGTCTTGATACCCCGTATGATGTTGTCTTAGATACCACTGGAAACATAATCGTAGCAGATACTAAGAATCACAGATTGCAAGTTTTTACGCGCCTCGTACCCGTGTATGCAGAGCCCGGAATGTATGATGAGGAGTATGAGGAAGCCGCCGCGATCGAGGACGGGGAGGACCTGGAACTGGACGAAGGTGAATTCAAAATTCCTGGTAGCGATTTAGATAAAGAATTACAAGATAATACGAATGACGTCAGCTCCAAGGAAAATTTTAAAAGTGACATAATTAAGGAAAAAAATGGCGAAGACGAGAAGAACAAAGAAAGACTTCCTAGCGCGCAAGAGATCTCTAACATTACAAAGAAAGGTGAAATTCAAGCCTTCAAAGAAAAAACGAGAGAATTTTCGGCGAATGAACAAGAATTTGATGCTAACAATAACTGAAGAATATTCAAAGAGAATGACAGTTGTATAATACTTGAGATGATCCTTTACTGCTCAAATGAGCAAGTTCGTTGTATGATATTAGTTCTTCATCAGATTCTCGCTCAGAGACTTTTGAACTCCTAGTTCAGCCGATTGATGTGAATTATGCATTAGACTTTGTCCCTCTTTTAAATTTTGACCTTCTAAACTAAATGGAGGCTGCTACGTTTAATCGGGCTCTTTTTTAAACATTGGACCAGAGTTGGGTGAACGCTCATTTGAGACCCAACCAGTAAATAAATAATCTCCAATGATATCTTCTGGTTACTGTTTGGGTGCTTAAAGAATTGTCTCCCCATTTACTAAATGCCATTAACGCCAAATCAGGTTTTCCATGGTCACAATCGATACAAAGAGAACACTCTAATGCCTATTTTATCTTGGCATGCTAATTGCTTCAACTTCATGACGAGGCTATCTCGACCTCGTTCTCAATCTTCTCTTCGGTCAGCCATGGGTCAGTTCTAAGTTGTTCAACCGTTACTCGCTCGGTTAAGTTCCATTGTAGCATTTTGTGGATGATGGCTTTTACAGGTTCAGCGATTTTAATCTTTGAAGGAAAGTTGACTCTGCGGTGAACCTGTTGCAGTAGACTCCGTAGGTTGGAATCATCGAAAGGAAGTCGACCACAAACCATGGTGTACAGAATCACCCCCATACTCCATACGTCTGCTAATGTAGCATCATAAGCGATTCCTAGAGGGACCATCAGAATTGCCGGATGAATCGTGAAACCTTTTTATATATTTCCTTCCTTTGGCAGTATTGACCCTTTGACCTTAATAGTGACTAGAATCTAATTTCTCATTACAATATCACCCCTGAATCAAACATTTAAGGTTCCGAGAGTAAGGGAAATGATCACATATTAAAGAAACTCTTGATTGTTAAACAAATTCTTATTGTCAGCACCTTCGGAAATGTGTGGAGAACAGTATGGAGAAGATGCATATTGATTTTGGGGTGCGAGGGGTTGAGGCACGCCTGAATGTGTAATAGTCAAAATCCACCAAAAAAACTTTTTCTTGAAAGAATAAAAAGTTCCTTAGAAGTTACTAGGAATGAAAAGTGAAAATGAGTATTATCTCTCTCTCTTTTGGCATAATAATGCGGGTAATCCCGGGGGTTCATCTGGCCCAATCTGGTAACCAATTAGATCACAGGAATCTCTTCATATATCCCGCTCTTGGACCCAGTCATGTTTTGGAAATGGTTTCTCCTCTCTGATTTAAACTCAAATAAAAAAAGTGGATTTGAAAAAATATCAAAGTCGAAGTACTGTTACTCATCACATATATAAAGCAAGTACTACATCGGCTCGAGATTTGAATACGCATCCAGAACTGAACATTTTGACATACATTCTGTGATAAATGCTTCAAAAGGCGATGTAGAATACTGTCTGCAGTTTCATTTCGGTAGCAAGTGTAGGATGAAAAAAGAAAAAAATAAACACAGAGAAAAGATCTGAGGAATTAACTCACCTTTAAGTATTTCCGGAGGTGCATAGGCGTAGGAACCACAATAGGTATGACAGAGCTTTTTCTTGCCCGTAGCTGACGTCAAATTATCGCGCGCAAATCCAAAATCAGATACAATAAGATTCTTTTCTTTGTCTAGCAACAGATTTTCACATTTTAGATCTCTATGCACCACATCTTGACTATGAACATAGGTGATCCCTAGGACTAGTTGTTTGAACAATCGTTTTGCTTGAGCCTCAGCTACTGCACCATTCTTTCTTATAAACTCTAAAAGATCGCCGCTTTCCGCCAGGTCTGTTATAATGTACATCCTGGTGTTTGTCTCAATAACCTCAATCAGTGAGAGGACATGAGGATGGTGGAGTTTCTTAAGAACCTTGATCTCTCGAGGCAGAAATTTGGATAAAAAATCCTCGGGCGCTTTCTTCTTGCATATGATTTTAACAGCAACATATCTTTTGTGCCTTCTTGAGTAGGCCTTCCTTACCACTGCATAAGATCCTTTGCCGAGAATGTCTCCCAGTTGGTAGCCGTATCGCTCTAGAAGCGCAGTCACTCCGGCAAGTGGGTTTTCCGCGCGGGTGGAACTCGGTTCCGATTTTTCAGTTTTTACAGTTCTCCCCGATGGGGCGTCTGTTTTATTATCTTGCCCCACTTCAGGTTTTTGTTCTTGATTATCAGCCATTTGGGGATTACCATTTGAAGAGTTCTTTCCCTAGAGTGACATTCTACAGCATTCGTTGCATGATCTTTTACGCAACTCTTCAAGGTAATTGATTCCTAGCAGCTAATTCAAATCTGACTTCATTCATTTTCGCTGTGACGTCCTCTTAATTAATGGATGGTTAATCAATCATTTATTCGATATTAATTGTAACTCACCAATGATACCTTTTTAATTGAAATTTGATTGCACGGCAATAGAACAAATATCTACAAAGTTTACTTAACAAGGCAGTCTTTTCGTTGTTTTCATCGGGTTATCATTTGATGTCGTAACCATAGAAACCAGACATGCGCCATGCTCGCAGATTTACCGACATAACGCCTGTTATTCCGATCCAGAAAACCAAAGATAGAGTTGATGACAAGAAAAAGTTCCATAAACAATCTAAAAAGTCCAGGAAAGGTTCTACAATGAGTACTTCGCGTGGCTCAAAACCGCAACAACACCAAGACGTACCAAGAACGGAATTAGACTATGAAATCGAACGACTAAAAGCAGAAATACAACAAGAACGACAAATGAAGTATGTCGTAATCAAAGCTAAATAAACCTTTTGTTGACGTTATTTTCCCCGGCAGTTTAAATGTAATCTTTTTGTACGGAACTCAGTCTATTATCACGGTATCGTATCATTTATTTTTGTTTTGAATTTTATTAAAAGTCACTTAGCAACATCGCCGTTTATGATGTTTGCCATCTCAGGGAATCTCCATTAGTTTTCACGATAGGAGGGATGTTTTTTGTAGGCCTAGTAACTTACAATATGCTGTACTCACTTTACGTTTCTTTTTCACGTCTTTTCTTAGAAACTCTTTATCATGAGTTACCGTTAAATTAAAACTGTGCAACCTAATAAAATTGCATTCTCTGCAAATTATTTTCGTCTACTCGAATGAACTAAATTGTCAATCAAAGATTCGAATTCGCTTTGGTCCTAATTTTTTAAAGGAAGGATGTTCTTTTCTCTATGACTAACACAGTCTTTCTTGACAGGGAGATGCTAGAACAATCTTCTGTTGAATTAGTGAATACCATCAGCGATCTGGAAGAGAAAAACGACAACGTTGAAGGCGAAGGTAAAAGGATTTGTGTATGCTTATATTCGGTGTAGAATATCAAAAGTGGTTATGTTTCGATCTTTCATTTTATTAAGTAAAATTAAAAGTATTAAAGAAGTTTCTTTGTATAGCAATCTAACTCCTGCTCAACCTTTTGTAGATAACGAATGGAAGACACGATTTGAAACTCAGCAAGAAATGAACAACCAGCTTGAGAAACAAGTTGTGTTATTACGGGAAAAACTTGGCCAACTTAAGATTCCATCTCGAGATGGTAAGCTTACTTAGAATATAAACATATTGTTGATCAATACACCTATATTTGGCCTTTGTTAGAGGAGAGCTGGCCACCTTGGTACTGTAATCTGCAATTGCATTGGACTCCAAGGAGGGAGATCCAGATATACTGTGATTTGTGTCAGCTGTAGAGTGGCTGGTTGGCAGACAGTCTTTGAGAGCATGTTTCTGACTTACACACTATTCACACCAGCAAAACATGTTTGCCTAAACTTGGTATAACTGAATGAAAATCAGAAGCAGAGAACTGAAAACTGAATTTTTCAACAAACATCAGTCTTCACAGTTTCTATGAAGAATAAAATTTTCAACCATGTTTAACAAAACAAGTTCAAAACGTTTCTAAGCTTTGGTGTAAATGAGGTATAAGCCATGTCTAATCATGGTCAGGTTTAAGGGATTGTCTTGTCTGGGTTCATGAGCTGAGGATGCCATGCCCAGCTTATTTAAGAGAACATCCTGTGTCAAATACTTAGGAATAAATTTGTCTTTAATGTAGCTTTTCCTTTATTTCTAATGGTGCTCACTTTTGTTGATATTGATATATTTTTTTACAGGAAAACCAAGTAATCATCTCAAAACATATAATGGTTTATCTGATGTAAGTTTAGAAATTTAACTTTTTTTTACTGTGTTTAATTTATTTTCAATTGATGTACATATTTTCATGCTTTTTTATATGTATGAGTCACCATTTTTAATGATGATATTTATTTCTTTTCCTTTTAACTCCCAGACCAAATTTGTAATTCTCCTTACTGTCAACCATACAATTCTTATAATGTTAATTCAGAGAATTTAGTATTGGATCAGCTAATTATTTTCAAATTTATAGTTTTCTTTATTCTCGTCACTTGTCTGCTTGATATTGTAAGGAGAAATTCTGTCTTGGTCACTCACAGGAGCTAAAGGGTTAATTTAAGTCGTGCAACTGAGATTTTAAAATTATATCAGTGACCAAACAGTTCTATTCTTGATAATTTTTCCATCAGGCAGAAATAAGAAAACTAATGAAACAGCTGGAGAGGGATAAAACAGAGTTACAGGGTCAATTGCGAGACTTGGAATGGCGTCTAGACAATGAATCCAAGGTATCAAAATGCATTCTATAGCTTCATATCAAGGGTTAAAGTAATCAATTTGTCATTAACTGAATATCATTGAGTTTTTCTGTACTTTTTCTCACTGGTGTGGATTTATGGATGAAGTAACCTACATTATAGTTGCACTTGCATTGACAAGCTCAAGATCTGCTTCTGTCTTTAACTTAAACTCCAGCAGTCTGAATGATAATTCTTCAAACTGATGAATTGAATTTCCCACATTGATGACTTGTCTCAAGAATGTGGTATTTAAATCCAGCCTGTATCCCCACAATTGATCTTATTACCTGTTTGACTGGGTGTGCAGTGATCAATATGCTGGGATAGAAGGATTACAATTCCTTTTGCTGTATACCCAGGAACCTTGAGTGACTGGTGGAGCTGTGCTTTAAAGGAGAATATAAGCATTCATCCATACTTGGAGTAAAGCATCAAAATTTCTCTTATCACCCAGCTACATTGATTTATTTGAAAAATTGTTGGCTGAGTGTAGGTAGAGGTTGTGAGAAAAGAAAAAAAAAAAACAAACCAAGTACCAATGAAGGAAGAAATACTACATCTTAAATATTCTCTTTAGTAGAGTCACGCTTTAGGATGAATGGTACAAAATAGATTAATTAATAATACTTCCTTATTGATTTTTGAATTAGGCTTTTCACAAGATAAATGAGGAAAGAAAGAAGTACCTAACTGAACTAGATGAGGTAAGTGTGCTGTTGAACATGATTTGCACCTGTAAGTATATTTAACTATGTACCTTTGCTGGCCATAAAATGGTAATCTGCCATTTCCAGAAGACTGATATCAACAGAAAAGTTTCTTTGGTTCAGTCTATATCCCACTTTTTATTAAAATTCCAAATTACACTCCTGGTCAAGAGGTATGAGTCAGTGCCTTTGCCTGGGTGAGACACTTTACTTTTACAGTGCCTTGATCAGTCAGGGGTATTAATGGGTATTAATGAACTGGGTATTAATGATCTGGGAAAAAATGCTGATATTTCCCTGCAATAGAGTGTCATCCCATTTTTGTAAGGTAGCAATACTGATGGTCACTTTGTTCTGTGAAATTTGGAATAAATCCCAGTGATGGTGAAGTTGGTTTGAAAGTGAATGCTCCTCCAAATATGTTTTATAGGAACAGAGAAAGACAGGCTGAGATTCTTTTTTGGTATTCACCATTTTTATATTTCTTTATTTGCATCTCAGACTGCTGCATTCATCGATGACACAAAAACAAAAACAAGACAAGCAATTCATGAAGCTCAGAGAGAGAATGAAGCTCAGTTGAACAATGCAAAATTAAGGTTTGGCCATAACCATGATAAAAAATACTTTGAGATAACTATAATGTGGAGATCAGTTTAGTTTACTAGATATGCTAATTTGTTTGGTAGTCATTTTAAATCTTTGTTGTTATCTTTTATGTTGCAAAAAAAAGGAAAATCATTCAAATGAATGAAGAAAGGGATTTCGTGTCTGCTTGTTGTTGAGGGTCAACACAGGGAATTTCAATTTCAAGCACAAAAGATTTTGAAATATCTATTCCTTGGACTTTAAACCTATGGGGCACATATCTCAATGGTTCAGTAGTGTTGTTGTCTATTTCCTTATTTCCTCATCTACTTGATTTCTCATTTTTCAGACATCCTAACCACTTTGGCCTGCCAGACAATCAAAGGATAATTGATCCAAAGAAAGGTCCTGTGAAGAAGGTGGCAGCTGTGCGGAAGCTGCCAAAGTTAGACAGCTCAGGATCAGGTGGAAGTAAATCACCTGGCAACAGTCCAAGGAACAGTTAGCTTACATGGATAGAATTTGAAAATAATTCTATAGGATGGCTAAACATAAAGGATACCTTCAAACATGAGATACTTATTCTTTTAACCCTTGATACTGTAAGATCAGTATGCTTATTCTTCATACTGTTCTCTATACATTTCATGAGGTGCTGACAAGGAGAATTTGTTTTAGCAATCAAGAGCTTCTTTAGTTAGTGATCATTTCCTTTATTCTCATGACCTTAATGTGTGACTCAGGGGTGATATTGTAAGGAGAAATTAGATGTTAGTAACACTTAGGGGTCAAAGGGTTTAGGTAGTGTATACAATGTAATCAGACAATTGAGGCACAAAACAAACATTGTTACCCTAGTTTTAGTCAATTAATCATTGTGCTATTGCTCTCTTCAAAGAGGTAACAGAACATGGACGAAATTTCCTGGTACTATCCATTGTCGGCAGTGCATAGTCTTATTTATGTATTTATGCAAAGAAAATATATGGGGCTTTGAATAAAAGGTGAACTATTTCGACAAAGGGCAAAAAAAAATAGTTGGTATAGTTCTTGATTCAATCCAATTCTTATGAAATATTGAATCAAACCATCTAGGATGAAAAACTGCCTACAACATTTGACTAATGCTTTTAAGATTGTGAATAAAAAAAGGAAAAAGCTGCTTGATACTACCAATCTTTTATTGACTTTTGCATTTGAGCAGAACCCTACTCTCAAATGACAAAATACATAATTACCCATTGTTGTAAATGATCACATAACAATGTAAAGTTTAGTTAAAGCTTGTGTGTTTTGTTTTCTTAGCTTGTAAATATACACTCAGTTACCAACAAATATATAGAGGAAAACAGATATGTAAATATAATGATTGTAAAAGTGACATGATTGTCCATCTGATATAATGATCATTTTATTTTCCTATCACTTTCATTTTGGCTGTAATTGACACAATCAAGTGACTTGGGTTGTGCGAAAAGATCAGTTAACTCACTGTGTGGTATTTAAATTAGTTGTATGTAACTGAGCTTGAGATAATCTGAAAATGTATTGATAACATTCTGAAAGAATATTGTGATCTGATGAGAGGGCATGACATCCCTTGATGGGGTGAAGAGGTGATGCTCAAATTTATTATGAGCAATTTTTGCCAATGCTGATTGAACATTTGAATCTCTTGTGTTGAAGAAATCAGAGAACGACTTTTTTTTTCTGAAAGTAAAAATTGGAAGAATTCGTTGCCCACGATCTCGTGAGTTGCAATGGGGTACAAAAAATACTCATCCTACCTCTAGCCATACCATGTTATAATTGATTTAACTTGGACAAATCGTCTCTTAAGGCTCAAGTACGTACAATGCCACAGAATCAGTGAAGTGACGAATTTACTCAGTTAAAAAAAATTGCCCACCATATGAGCAGCATGAATAATCGTTTTAGAACCTTTTAGAAGTTTCTTTCAATACCTTCACCGGAGTCAACTGCATTACTTGTTCCCAGGGAATGTTTACAACCAAAAATTACCCTTACCTTCCAAAGTACCGTTACCTAAAGACCGAGCTCAAACGCGCCTAACGGAATTTTTTCAAACTAAGCGCAAAAACCTTAGGATTCTTTCACTCCCTTTTAAATCAGTAGATTATACTGTATTCACCTAAGTTAGCTATTTCGATGTTCGATGTGTACCTTTACGGCTGTTTGTTAATTAAAAGAGGTCAACTAATCAGTGCGCTGAATTACCTAAAGTTTGATCACACTCATATTGTACTACTTATTATTTTACCAGAAAGCAACCGCTAAAATTACGTCACAAGAGAAAATTTCAGAGCTAACCATGTCAAGGAATCATTCCATAGTTTTATGCATGATTAAGTTTGGGTTATAGTATTATAGATATTACAGGGAAATCTCACCGGCGCGTCAGTATTCAAAAAGGTGATTTGATTGATGAGGATGTCGACGAGCGATTGTCGGCACAGACATCCGGTCATACACCGGATACTGATATTTGACTCCGACGAATTTCACTTCCGGGGAATAGTTACATGAAAGTGAGGCCCTTCAAAGCGTAAGTTCTTTGAATTGGATATGAGCGGATGCAAGGTGGAGGACATTTACTGTTTTAACATAAGTATAACTATTGAAAGTTATGCTTCAGTTGGAACATTTAGTTGCTGCCGTGAATACTTAGCATCGTAGAGGGCATCAAAAACTTAGATCGATAGTTGTAGAGTTGAGTTACTTGGTTTTGCTCATTTGCCTTATTCTTAGCTTGTATATTTTTCATTTGAAATTCTACTAAAGCCAAGTCATCTCGTTTGCAAGGACTTCATGCTTTTATTCATGTTTTGCCTGGAGTATTTTGGATTTACCTTCTGAAGCATGTAGTCATACAGTCAAATTATTAGTTTCTAAATCGAGTTGATCAGTAACTTTTGAATTATGTCATGTTTGACAAATAAATTTGGATTTCCTTAGGAGTTAACCTTTTCTATAACAACAACCTGGAATGGGAACCCAGTGAAACACAGTCCTGTGGTGTTCAGAGTTGGTGCTGCAGATGATACCTCAGTCAGGGTTGATGTGAGTGGACCTTTGTTTAATGATCCTGGGCCCCCTCCAGTGGCCTCGGGAGGTGCCTGTCCAGAACTGTGGGAATATGAAGGTTGATAAGTATTACATTTTATATAGTTTGTCTGCAAATAAATTACCCTAGGATTTCTCTGCTGCTTTAGCCCTATACCCCATACATTCCCAAGATCTGAATAAAAATAATATCAATTTTCTGCAATGTATGCTTTAGTGTAAAATACTTTTTGCTGTTTGATATTTTTGTTACTTCTCATTATCTTTCTGCTGAACTTTGTATTGGTATCCAAGGGAGACATAGTTCTTTTAACTCCTGGAGAAGGGGAATGGGCACATACAAGGAAGTATAGAGAAGCTAACATCAATGGTAAAACTACCACTTGGTTCCAGAAAGTAGTTCCCAATATTGTGGTCTGGCCTTGTTCCTAAATTTTTTAAAATTTCGAAAATTTCTTGTCAAAACTGTTAACTAAGTCAGGCTGAAGTCTCCTGCAAAGTGTTGTAAAGTGCATTGGAGCATAGTGGTATGGATTATGCATTATATAAATAAAATTATTCATAATGCCACATCATTAAAATCTATAGTGGAATTAAAAGTGACTTGTAAAATGCCATATTTTGAATGTGAGACAGACATTAATGAGTTAAATTTTCAAGTTCAAGATGCTTGCCTATATCAACATATCAAGGACCAACAAGGTTAAAGTACATTTTTGATGCATTTGTAATTCAGTTAGAGGCATATACGATGAAGATAATTTGTGATTGATGTTGCTTAAATATTCTGTCACCTTTTTATTTTGATTCAGTGGCTGAGATTTTCTTCCTTGGAGATAAAGATAAATATTTGGAGGTTGAGTTATGCCCGTAAGTACTTAGACAGACTATAGCCTGCCAGAATTGCAGGCAAGCATGGGGGACTATTAATCACAATTGGTTTTTAGTTTTGCATTTCAATGATTGAAACAATGGTATCAGAGTTCTTAACCAATCACAGGGCAGAGTAAAGGAGAAACAGCACAGTACCAGATAGCTTTTGACATTTGATAGAAAAAAAAAAAGTATAAATGTTTCTTAAATTATAAATGAGCAGTTATAAGAAAGGTGACTACTGGTACAATCAGATTGTTTTAAATCTGTCACTAGCAATGGCTAGTTTTCTTGTTTGTCTTTTTTCATATTCATAGTCATGGCCAGCATCTGGTGCTTCTTCTGAATGGGACAAGAAACATGATGAAGGTACGACTGAACCTAAAATCTGAGACAAAATGAGGTAATTTGGTTTATCAACTGAGTTGATGATGTAAATTGGCCACCATAAAGAGTTTCAAAGCTGACATTTTGAGCATCAATTGCCCCTTTGTCAAAGCCGATGATGAAGGGCTAACACTCAAAATGTCAGCTTTGAAACTCTTTCTGGTGGCCAATTTACTTTATCAACTCAGTTAATGATACCAAATTACCTTGTTATACTCTCCTACCCATGCGGCATCATAGTTTCTTTGGAAACTTACCCCCTTGGGACAAAATATGCTGACTCATAATTTGAACATGGAAACTGAGGTAATATTTGGCTGGATGGGCCTCTTGGCTTGTGTTTCTTCTGTATTGCTGTACAAAAGTAAACAGGATTTTCCCTCACAAACTAAAAAATTTAAACTTGGTTTCCTCATATTCACATGGCAAGTTATTTGTGGTGGATATAATGACATCAGCTAACAAATTAGTAACAGCCACTCTTTAGTTTGATTTAAAGATTTCATAATTTTTGAAATAGGATAAACTTGCCCTAAAGTATACAGCTAACACTGATGATGTGAATAAAACCTGGAAAGGAACTGCCATTATACCATTGGAGTACTTCCCTCCTGATGTGACAAAGATTAATGCATATGCTATCCATGGGTCAGGGGATGAGAGACAGTATGAGGCTCTTTATCCAGCTTCTGAGGAGTTTTACACACCTGACTTGTAAGTGAAACCACTTGATAAAATTATACTCACTGTGATTGATCAAAGGGAATGGAATGATGATGAAGTTTACTTCCTATGTTTGCCTGAAAATGAGGAAATGGGTGAGTGCTCCCACACGCTTCGGGCTACAGAAACCTGGGGCAGATCCTGCAATTTAGCAGAGTTCAAAATTACTTTTCAACCAACTCATGACTGCATGTAGCCCATCCCCTCTCACCCACTTTGTGTGGTCACACACTGAAGTGAAGTAGTAATATGTGATCCTGTCATCGCCCAAATTTTAAAGGAGCATTTTAAAGATTAAAGTTATTTGACCTCTGTGTCTTTTCAGCCATCGCCTTCAGTTTTTCAAGGAGTTTGATTTCAAGGCATTGTTTCCTACATCCTGGATACAACCAGAATCCACACACTGGACTAATATTTGAAAATAGCTCTTTAATTATTAACAATTAGGGAAATATATAAATTTATCTTCTCTTTTAAATGTGAAGTAACATAAGAAAACTTAGTATATAAAATAATTTTTGAAGATTGAAAAACCTCGAATGATAATAATCAACAGTCTATTTGATCCATAAGGAAAACTTTTTTATCACTGTCCAGTTTTTGTTCAAATACAATAAAGCAGTGAGGAAACCAGCATTTTGTTATGTTAAACACAGGAAATACTCACCCAAATGTTTTTATTTTTTTTTCTAATTAAGTTTGAGATAACCAAACCACACCTGGTAATTTAAATTTTAAAAGGGGCGCTTAAAGTCCTTGAGAAGTCTCTGAATTTTATGTCTGACAAAGTGTACAAACCCTGTTTTACTTTAAATTTAAGAAGAATTTCAATGTCAATTTTTCATAATGGGGTATTGTCTAAACCTGTCATCTAATTTACTGGTACTATTTTCCAAGAAAAGTTCACAGTGTATTTCCAACTCCAATTGATGTTAGGATCAAGTTGATTAATTGCCATAAGGAAGAGTATTACACCAGGGCCAAGTTCTTTACGAAGTGGAACTCTTTCAGATATTTTCATGTTGCTCAGCGACAGGTCAAGATCAATGGTGTATGTAACAAAACTACAATAATTTGCAGCTTCAAGTATTACACCACTTATGTGTTCTCTCAAAAGTATGAAGAGACAGTTCTCGTGTATATTGTCAGCTGTTGTCGCTGAATTAAAAACATTACCATCATGGTGCCACATTGTAGTTGGTGGTTCCGTGGCTTTCATATAATTTCCATTCTCAGTGAATAGTCTGTTAGCAGTAGTACCTGACTCATGTAATGAAGGACCATTTTTACACACACACAGTCTTGGGTCCAGACCCTTATCTGCGCAGGTCTGATAACTGCCATAACTGCTGACCCTTGTGAACTGAGTCAATTTCATGTCCATTATGACACTTCCACTTGTCACCTGAACTGTAACAGAGAAGATTTCTTGATTCTGGACATAAATATCTAAAGTCACAGTAAGCACTTCACCTATCCACTTTTCTCTAATGTTATCAAAGCGTTCTCCTCTGAGCCGTTCACAGGATTGAAAGCCAGAGAGTGGCCTTTTTGCTTGGAAGTTTTCAAGGAACTGGGTTTGTATGTTGTTATTGAGCTGACCTAAAGCAAACTCGGCTATGATGAAGTGAAATGAGTTTGTGTTGACTTTTGTCATCCATCCTTGGCAGATGCAAAGTGTAGATATAAGAAGGCCAAGGTCATCACAAGTACGGTTACTTAAGACTGGCTGAAGAAGGCCAAGATTCTGCGGCAACCATTCATTGCCAAACTCTGCTGCAATTGCCATAAGTGTGTGATGCAAATCGACAATGCTTACCAATCTGCCTTGATTTTGTTTCAGTATCCTTATTTTGTTTTTCCCTAGCAAATTTTGAACCCTCTTTGGTATTATCATAAACAGGTGTGGTTGAAAAACTTCAAACCGCCCCTCCATTGTTCTTGGGTATGATCCATAATTGTTACCATGGTCTGAGAGTACTATGCTCAAAGTATTTGGATCAGAAGCTAACATATTAACAAAATTGGATAATGCTGAATCAAAAGTCTGAATCCTACATCCACTTTCCTCATGGCCTACATTTAGCATTGAAAAGGCAAACAGTGGTTTCTTTTCTGAATCCATATGTCCTTCTTTGATACTGTGTTCTAAATGTTCCAAAAACAAGGCATGGTAGTTCTTTCCTCCATAGCACAAATTAGAAGGGCCATGAAAAATGTCTGAAACTCCAAAACGTCTTAAAACTTCACAACTTGAGTGTGTTATTCCTGTAAAATCAATTGAGTTATTTTGTAGAACCCTGGCCAAGTTATGCCATACTCTGCTTAAGGTTAAACTTTTGTTCATAACTTTTAGGTTCCTCACCAGGCCCCACTCGTGAGCCCAACACATATCCTCTTGCCACATTGTCTGATATCCCAGTGATTTAAATTTTCCAAACATAACACCTGCTTTCACAGGAACTGGGTTTATAAACTCCTTTACATCACTAAGTTCCCCAGAAAATAAGGCATTAATGCTTTCAAACGTCCTTTGCTTAATGGCGTGAAAAAGCTCAAAATCTAGCACCAGTGATGAAGAATTCGAATTAATGCTTCGAAAAGCTTTAACAGTTTGAGGCAGTGAGCGATAGAAATGAGGTCTAGACACAGAGTCGATGAGAATGATGTTTACATTGATGAGTTTTTTGTTAGTCTCCCGTCGCGGTTTCTCGGCTGAAACACTTCTAGACGGAAGAATAAAAAGCTGGGTCTTGGCTGTGGGATTCCAGAATTCATCACACCTCAGAAAAGCAAACGGGAAATAAGCATTTGTTGGTGTCGATTGAACATAATTGTTCAGTGTTTTCTCCACATCTTGAAGGAAAGAAAAATGTTTCCAGCTGAGAGATCCGTCCTCTGGATTAACGAAGCCCACAGAGATAATATCTGAAGACCCACAAGAGGTTATGTGACACTCGATTTTGGGAAGTCCCCAAACTGTTTTCTCAATTTTGCACAAATCCATCTGGGTGCTGTTGCAAGTCTGGTTTCTAGGATCCGTCGTGAAAAATGACTTTGCCAGGGCACACGCTTCTTGTCTCACTTTTGGTAAGCGACAAGACGAGGAAAAAGTTAAGGACGACACTTCTTGAACTGAAAGCGATGGACAAGCAGAATATGTCTTGTTGCTTGTAAGTTTCACTTGCTTCAGTTGGTAACGCAATTTTTTCTGCCATTCTAGGAGGGAATTCCATTTGCGACGCGACTCTGATTGTTGTGCTAGATGGTCAGATCCTTCCAGGAATAAAAATTGATAAATCAGAACTGTAGCGATCACGAATGCCAGCGAAAGGAAGAAAAAAAGTAACGACCTTTTTGCGTGACGAAATGTACAGAAAAACACAGCTGGGGGAAAACAAGGACGAAACATGAGGAAGGAACAACAAGGCATTAGACTGTTCTCGACATCAGTGATGAGAATTAACAGCTACGCCTGAAATGAGCTCAAAATAATAGACAATACACCTGTCCTTGAAAAGAAACCACACAATATACAGAAAACAATCGTCACTTTAAAACAAGATCATACGTGTCTGCACGTTTGCCATCATGAAAGTGAAGTGAGCCCGCGAAATTTACCGCATGTCAGTTCAATTCGTCATGGCGGAATATATGGAACGTGGTGAGGAATATCAAAGAAAGATTCCCACTGAATCAAACTCCAGAGCGCACCGAAAATGCAAGGAGAGACTTGACAGATCCTGTCGAGAATGTAAGTAGCTAGAATAGGCTAGGCATATCACCGTGGGGTGAATGAATAACGCCAATACATGTGAGGTGTGATTGCATCACATCACCGGCTCGTGACATAAAATCATAGTACGATTGATCGTGACTTGAAATGTTGTTATCATTTTTCAGCGCCATATGTGAAGTTTATGTTAAAGGCCATGAGTAACCTAGGGTGGTGAGTAACGAAACTTTCTATTATTTAACAATCTCCTTTTTGTTTACCCTTGATTCGTGTTGCAGATTGTATATCTTACCTCACCTAGCTCAGCCATGACTATTGAGCGTCAGGTGGTTTTTAGCCGACTAGGGTTTCTTCTACTAGGTGGTGTCCCAGCAAAAGGTCCCCGTTAGACCAAAAAAAAAAAAGCAAATAGTGCCAAACTGTCGCAATCAGTGACTAATACTCCACTAATTTGAGAGTCTTGGGAATAATTATCAGGATTTTCTACGACCATACATATTCAAGCTAAAAAATTAGATATATATTTTTGTGCCATGTAAATTTCTGGACTGTTGTTACAACTAATAATAGTGTGTTGGAGCCTTTGAGGGACTGAGCTTTAGTGGGGTGAAGAGTGGGTATTGTGCCCCTCTTATATATGTCCTCAAACTTTCTTTGTCATTTACTTACAACTTAAATATAGTGAAGTGGATCTAGAAAGACATATGGTATGTGAACCATGTGACCCAAAGCTGATTGGAGGATTTGATCATGATACAAAGGAGGTAAGCTTGGAGCTCTGGTGTAGTCCTTAAACCATTTTCAACCTAACATAAGTATACACATTCTCCATACTGTTCTCTATACATTTCCCAAGGTGCTGACAAGGAGAATTTGTTTAACAATCAAGAGCTTCTATAGCTGGTGATCGTTTCTTTTATCCTTGTGACTGTCATGTTTGATTCAGGGGTGATACTGTAAGGAGAAACTTGATGCTGGTTACTCGCAGAGGTCAAGGGATTGTAAGCTTAATGACGTTCAGGTCTTTCAATTTTATTGCTTAATTTCTTCCAGATGTTTTTATGCGAGAACACAATCTACACCCAAAAAGCAATGGACACTGTTCTCACTCATGAGCTGATCCATGCATTTGACAACTGCAGAGTCAAATACAATCCAGACAATGTGCGGCATTTAGCTTGTACTGAGGTATTCCATTCATGTGCTCTATATTAACTTATAGATTTCCACTCATTTTGTTTTCATAACAAACTCTCTAGGTTGTTGGGAAAATATTGATGACAATTATTCGGGTTAAGTACTTGAATAACACAGGAGAGAGAGCCATCAACCTACACCAATGTGGCTCAAGTTGTGGTTCAACAGAGCTGGTGTGACATGTAGGGTCTCTTGTTGGTTCTCTAAAGAAGGGGCAACGATATTCATACAAAATCAAACAGACTAGTGATGAGAATAAATATGTAACTTATGGATTATTTCTTGATCCAATACCAAATTCTCTGAACTAACATCATAAGGAGTGTGTGGCAGACAGTAAGTAGAATTACCCAAATTAACAAAATTGTTGACCCATGCAAATTTCAAACTGTCATATGTAAGGATCTCTGACAATGAAATATTATGGCATTTTTAAAAAATTTTTTGTCCATATTAGTCATTTAGTATGATTTGACACTTTGTCTGGACTCTTTCCTTTTTTTAAGATTCGGGCAGCAAACCTTAGTGGTGATTGCTTTTTCTCAAGGGAGGCATTTGGACGATTCAAATTCAGATGGAAAGCTCATCAGCAGGTATCTTAATGCTGCCTTGTAGTTTGTTAATTTTTTGGTATTTCTTTCAGAGAGAAAGTTCACCACTGGATATATTAATTAAATTGCATTAAGATTTTATGCTATCCCAGGATTTTCTTTGCCTTTGTCTTTGGGTATGCTAACAGATCCATAATGGAGAGAGTTCCCAATGGAATGGGAACACACTCACTTTATCCTAAATTTTGAAATGTTTCTCCTCTTAGATTGATGCTATGTTCTTGAATATTAAAATGAAAAGTAGCAAATAAAAAAGCAAACTGTGTTTGAACACTTTTGAAGCTTTTTTTTGAAACAGCATACTAAACCTCAACAAAAGGCAGAGATAACACTGCAGGATTATTTAAAATAAAAATATAATGCAGTAGTATTTGTAAGTAACCAGAAAATTTAGTTGCAGAATTCTGCATTGTAGCCAGAAAATTCATCAGTATCCTGTGGGATCAAATAACCACCTTAACCCCTACCCTTAATTTAAAATGATACCATTCAATTGTTGTTGTTTTTATTATTTTCTTTTTTTGGCAGGAGTGTGTCAAAGAACGTGCAGTAAAATCTATGTTATGTGTTAGAGACATATCCAAAGAGGAAGCTCAGGAAGTTGTAGAGAGTGTTTTTGATGCATGTTTCCATGATACAGAACCATTTGAGAGAATTCCTCCCTGACTGGTGTACAGCTTCAGAATAATAATATCCATGGACAAAAACAAGAACTAAATTTATTTCTAATGATGGAAAAGACACATGCATGTGAATTTCAGAAGGAAACTTCATATTTTGTAAATGTTGAACTCTTTGAGACTGTCTTTAAAGAGATTAAACCCCACAAAACATCAGCATAGTATACCATTTCATGGAAGAGGGATAAAAAAAGAGGCTAACTTTCAGTCCAGGATTACCACTAAGTGCTCTATGACAACTGGTGCCTGAAGTCTGGATAACAAGTTATAAACTAAGCAATCTCTTTTAATACCACCCCAAAACTAAGTATAACTAAGTCAAGGAAAAATACTCAAAAGCCTTGCCTTCAATGTTACATTCACAGGGGTTTTGACAATTAAGACTCAAGACAAAAAGCCAAGGAGGAGGGTACAGTGCATCTGCACCCCCCCCCCCCCCAACCCCCTTAAGGGAGTGGCAAAGTGGCACCTCTTATGTTCATTTAAGTAATGAGGATACTTACTGTATCAAGTTATGTCATATCCAAACAAACAAGCTTTAAAGTGAGTCAACGTTTTATTGCAAAGCTAGACATTTGCTAGCAATCTTTATTTATTTACTTATTTTTTTCTTTTTTTTTTTTTTTTTTCAAATGGAGCAACAGCTTTTGGGAAGTAAAGACTGGGATGGGACAGAGTGTGTCTAGACCCAGTCCCTTCTCATCCTGACCACGATCATGATACATTCGCTTTCCTTCCAGACACTGCTACAAAATTCAGACAATAATATGTAAGAGTGCAAACGAAAACTCAGGTGTGGTCACTAGCTCTTTGTTAATTTATTTATTTGTTCTCAACACTGAAATTGGTCTGATAACATGCAAATTAAATGGAATGTTATTCAACAGCTTGTTATCCTGCAATAAATAAATATCCTGTGGTTCAGTGCCACTGTTGACCAAACAACATATGTTCCACTGGTCCTTAAATTTGCAGACTTCAAGCATGGACTCCATTCTGCACTGTTCTCTGCAGGGGTATTACACAAACACAGTTTTTTGCCTTTTTCAGTCTCCACCATCGACCCAGCCTGTGTTCTTGTCCAATGCCAGCTATCAAATTATTTCCATCGTTGGAAAAAGCTAAAGCATTTACAAAGCCAACCTGAAAAAAAAAATTATTAATAACTATAATAAAAAAACCTGTCAATCCCTGATAATAAAAAAACTTGTTCAAAACTTCATGTAAGTCTTGTGAGCATGAAAGGAATTCCTTTTACCAATGATCAAGGCATAATTTCTCCTCACAGTATAAGCTAGAGATAAATGGAAATTTGTTACAGATGCGCCGGATATCTTTGGATTATTTTTGTCACCATCAAGGTTTTGTTTTCACACATGCCGATAACAATTTGTTCGTCACGCAACTAACTACTAGTAAACTCGAGTCAGCATCATGTTTTCATGCCGCTCTGTGGCACTCTTAATACAATAGAATTCACTTGAGAGGGAAAACACATGTAGGTGAGAAGTTTTTTCAATTCAACCAGTAGATTTTAAAATTGTCACATAACCCACACCTCCTGATTGCCTGCAGTGGCACGCGTTTAATGCAAAATCAACAGATTACCTGCGGGTAAACGGCCGGAAATTACGGTAATCAGGATATCATCATTTGATCCAATGCTAAATTCTCAGAACCAATGTTGTAAGCATTGTATGGTATACAGAATGCAGAATAACTAAAGAGATCTTGGGAGTGAGGGGGTCAAGAGGCATGCCTTTTTTCTTTCTGTGGCCTCTAATGGAACAAGGACAATCTTAAACATCTGAAAGTAAGATTCTCATGCTACATGGTGGTATTATGTGGTTTCCCCTTGAGACACCAGTAGTTTTGCTCATTTCAGGAAAAAGACAAAATATTTTGACATGCTTACCATTGATACAGAGAAGAGCTGCTTAAGACTTCTGAATCCATCACCACATTCCCAGAGTTTGATACATGAATCACAAGAACCTGCTAGCAAAAGTTTCCAGAGACATCACTTCTAATGAACTACCTATCTTTGTCTCAAAATTCAAGTTTTTATACCATCGTCAACCAAACAGTTTTGACAAAAATCTCAGTGCAAGTCATATTAAGGATGAATGAAAATGACAGTGTGAATGACTTATCCCAAAAGTTCTCCTAAAGGAAAGTCTTACCTGAAGCCAAGAGATCTGTACTTCGTAGTGATGCAATTGATGTTATCCAACTTTCATCTGGAATACTGTCATCTGAATTGCCATCTGGTTTACTATGAGCATTTGGTATTGTGCATAATGGCTTTTTCTTTGAAACACTCCATAGGGACAGTGAGCTGTTGGAAAAACGAAATTAATGGGATGAGAAACTAAATAAAATTAAATGAAAAAGAGTATTCAGGAATTTCAAAATTAAAAATGCAGAAACTAATGAGACTAATGGTACCTAGACTTCTCAACTTAAGTTTTATAAATTTTTATTTTCAAATGATTATTGTTTCA